AGTATATTAAAGTTTATTAGTATACAGTTCTAATAAAATATTTTTAATGTTACAGGCAAAAAATGCATTATATTAAGAGCTTATCTAACGTGATTTTCTTCAAAATCAGAGAATATAGATTTAACTCTGATAATAATGTCTTTAACACTATCTCAGTTTGGAGAATTGATGAACAGGCTGATGAGGATGTAGTAATGCAAGAAAATATACAAATTATAAGCAAATTGCAAGCTGATGCATCTCATTATCATACACGAGCAATGCGGGTAAACTATTTACAGACCTGTAACTTGCTCCTTCCAAAAGTCAAGCCATCAGCACTTAAAACAATATATCGAATGTTAACAGGTGACAATTCTGCAGCTGAAACTGTAAATGAGGCAAAAGTCAATGAACACATCAGACTTGCTTTAGAACTTGAAGATCCAGAATTGCTATTGATTTACGTGAACATAACAATGGACAACCCAATAAATATGATATTTTCTGAAAAACTGCAGCCCAATTTCTTGCAGGAAAAGCAGCAGATAATGTAACTGCTGTAGATGAACGCAGGCATGATGTAATCGTGCATCTTGCAACTGCAATCTCAGTGAACGACCTTTTATATTAAATTAAACGTGAATATCCAACTAGAACATTAATTCCGAGTGCATAATGGCTACGATTACAGTTTTGGCCTAAGAATCCATCAAGATTTAGCAGTTTGCAATTTACTGGTCACTTAAACCTAAAGTTTATGGTACAAACTCGTCAACTACGAGCTTATCACCCAGATATTCACTACGCATCAGCTTTATTTCATTTTGAAAAAGAATTTGCTGTGAAGTTTCGTGATATAACAAACCTGATTTTTCTGGATGATAAGCATTGTTGCAAAGTTGGCGAACCTGGATACCCTATTGCAGCAGTAGAGAGAGGAAAAATGTAGTTGTTAGTAAAGACACAACTTTTGCAGTTGCTGATTACAATTTTACAAAAACGGGTATTATACCTAGTGTAATGATAATATGTGATATACCAAAATTGATAAATGGTGATTTCTATGCAGGAAAAGTAGCATTAGACTAAAGGATCTCATCTTTCAACCTTCATCACCTCTTCAGCATGCAACAGAACTTTATCACATACTTCTTGATGAAGATCTCATTAACAAGCCTGTGCTATGTCTCTACACCGATGGCGGACCAGATCATTATTGTATATATACTCAGGTTCAACTTTCATATATTTGCCTTTTTCTTGCGTTAGACCTTGATTATTTGGTAGCTGTTCAAACTCCGCCACATCATTCATAGAAAAATCCTGTCAAATGTATCATATCGATTCTGAATCTTGAGCTATAAAGCGTTAGTCTGATGCGAACTAAAATGAATGATCATTCTGAAAATCTACTAAATAAATGTGGCACAATAAATGAAATCCGTAAAATTGCTGAGGAGAATCCTAACTTGAAGAAGGATTTAGTTGAGAGCCTTCAAGTTCCAATTCATTTAGTTTGTGATGTGTTTAATCGCCAGTTTCTCAAAGATGATTTCTTTAAAACATTTAATATGGCAATGAATATAGAAATAGAGAGATTCTGGAAAACGATTCAACTTGTGGATGAAAATGTTACATGTGAAGATCGTACCGCTAAGCAAATAAGACAAAGGGTAAGAAAATTGCTAATTAACTGAAAAAAAAACTTAACTAATATACCTTTGCTTAGACACGCATACAAGAATTTTTGGAGCATTGTTGCAAGTCGAGGCATTATTTTTTTTCCATCAAAAAATGCTGTGAACCAAACTGCACCATTTGTCGTCCTCTTCGTTGTTCGCCAAAAGATTTTGAACAGCTGCATCATCTTCCAGATCTGGTACTTGATGAAGACTTACATACAAGTTATTTGAAGAGTTATACAGTATGCAAACAATAGAAGATTATAGGCCTTCGTTAAAAGATGCTAAGATGAAAAAAAAAACAAAATGGCAACTACAAAAAAACATAGTAAGCCATTTTGTCCTTCTGCTATACATGCAAAAAATGTTAGTGTTATTGTAAATTGCATTGAATGTGAAAAGCCACGCCTTTTATTCAGGGCAAAGAAACTCTCTGAAAAGGATAAGGCAATGCTACAAACGTTTTAGATACAATATTTTACACTTGCGGAATGGCATTTCATAATACATATGATCTGGCAAAGGCCATACCACCAAAGCAACAAAATAGTAATGAAGATGAGCAGCATAACGTGGATGATGAACCTGCTGAAGAGTCTGAAAAAGATGTGGAAGAGATTCATGAACTTTTTTCGAGAGTCTTTGTTAATGATTCATGGTCTTGTGCATCACAAATCGAAAAGCTATATTATTCAACTGGGATTTATCCAGATGTTTGTATTGAATGTGGAAGCTTGGATGTTATTAATAGAATAGCAAAAGACGAATTTCTACGGTGTAGTATCTATAGTAACAATACTGCTATTTCAAAGAAACGTCAAAAGTGGAAACAGGGTGGTAATGACAACGGAAAGCATACAAAGACTTAATTATTTTATTTCATTTTGTAGCTGAACGTCATTGTTTGGAAAGTAAATATGTATATACATTAAATAAAATGATTTATAATTGAAAATTTAAAGTTTATATATAGTTTATTAATGAACTAGACGCATACATGCATATAACGTATACAAATAGATAAAATGTAAAGTTTATTTTGGTCAATTCACGTGATTTAGACGAAGCATTTTGATTGGCTATGATAAAAAATTTATAATTTCAGATTTCATTTTACTGACCCGGTCAGGATATGAAAACCAATATTTTAACTTTGTGTCGCCTAAACTTAGATAGGTTGTTGATATTATTTTTTTCACAATGGGGATTATTCAATGTTTAAAAATTTTTATTAATACATGCGAAAAATAAATATAAAGGTTCGGGACTTTGACTAGGATACTATACATGTTTTGTTTTTTTTCGAACGGTATTCCTCTAATTTAGCTTTTTCTTTGAGGGAATTGTCTTCCGCACATGTCCTATCCTTTAATAAACCTACTACTACACTCAAAACCTTTTTTATGCCATTGCATAACGTTTTTGAAGTCCTATGAATTCTTTATCCAAAGTATTTTCAGAAAATTCGATGCTTAATGGTAATTTACTGCCTTGTGAAATCATTCTGCGATGTCACTTCGCTTTCTCTTTCTCTTATTCGTCTGTTTGATACTCTGAGCAATGCCTACAGGACTTTATGCTGGCTGTCTTCCATTAACTTAACTAACCTATATAAACTAAGTATTTTTTTTATTCGTAAAATGTGCTCTCTTTCGAATCTGTCTCAGGATGGTTCATCAACCAACGACTAACAGAAAGTCCATAATACTTGCGTGGACGACTGGTAATGGCTGGGCTAGAAAGAGTTCCCTTTTGTTCACTTTTTCAAATCCGTCTCAGGACGGTTCATCAACCGATGACTAACAGAAGGTCTACAATGCTTGCGTAGATAACTGATAATAGCCGAGCTAGAAAGAGGAAAAGGGTGCACATTCTGAAAATTAATTTTAATATTATTATTATAGTGACAGGATATTTTTTTTACGGTAATGTGTTAATAAATTTAGTTTTCTTAGTTTTTCAAATATTCAAGTATTCTAAGTATTCTAAACCAATTTTTAAAAATAATGAATGACAACTATAAACTGCAAGATAACCTGATGGATAAGATCAATCCATACTTCCTCTCTCAAGACAATTTCTTCTCTGACTGAAATAAATGGAATTTGATATTCTTCTTAGAATATGCGGACGAGAGAAAAACCTTATCATTTAATGATAAAAGAGAACTACATCGAAGGTTTGGAGACTCTATAAGTGCAATTTTAAAGTCAAACGCATCAATGACTATGAAGGAAGTGATCAAGAATCTTAAGAAGGAGGTGTGTGTGAGATATTGAATACTATTGAGTTTATTCTCAAGCTTTTTAATACAATTCTATATTAGACATGTTCGGTCAGTGTCAATTTGTTCTGAAAAAAAGTTAAAACGGAAAAAGTGGAGAAGGATGTGAATGTAATTATAATCGCTGATATGGTGGTTTGATTAAATCAAGAATTTTCATAATTTGTTTTTTGTCTGATTTTTCAAAATTTAGAAGACACTGTCAGTGTTGGATGTTCCCACCACAACATCACCATCTGATAATACTTCTACAGCACTACCATCTTGTTATACTCCTACAACACCACCTTATAATGCGTCACAACCGCTATCACATGATGTTTCACCACAACACTACTATCTGATAATGCTCTCACAGCATCACTATCTCGTCATACTCCCACAATACTACCTCGTAATGCATTACCACCACTATCACAGAATATTCTTAAACATTCTTTTGATATTTATGAGACAAGTTACGAAATGGATTGGGCTCTATGGAATTTTGACATCACAATAAATAATATAAACATAGAATGTGTACTTATGAGCTTGCATGAAAAATGTTAGAAGACGAAACTGAAAACTAAAATGTCACTCGAATACGGCATAATTGACCTTAATGACTGCAATCAGTGATATCGCATTTTGAAGTAAAGATGCAAGAATATAAACCTAAAAAAGCTTTATCTGTAGAAGTTATGAGAATCTTGAAAACATTTAATGTTGTAAGTAATTGAAGAAATTATTTATGAAGAAAAGATATTAATTATAGTCTACTTTTTTAGACATCTTTGGAAGACCTTGAAAAGGTACTTGACGAAATCAAAATTGATTATAATAATTTAAATCGTGATATTATCTACTTACGTCGCCTTTTTGAAAAATTGTAAGTATGTAGTTATGAAAATCAAAAAAGCAACCTTTCTAATAATGATTTTGTGCATAGCTTTTTGTTATTTCAAGATAAATCAACAATAAACTTCAATAACAGAGACCTACCAGAAGGCTGGTATAACAGCCACATCATAGCACCAATCTTTGATGACTGCCTCGAATCAATTGATGAATGTATTTTCTGACGGTATTTGTCAAGAATTTGTGTTGTGTTTATATTAATTAAAGATGGTCCCCATAATTATTTTCAAATTTCAATTGAGTTGCAACTTAATTGCGCCATAAGAAAATTTAATTACGCCACAAGTTGCAACTCAATTGTGCCATTTTTTTTAATTGCGGTGACCATCTTTAATATTAATGTTATATTAATAAACATGTCTATTGTTTTGCTTAATAGAGGTGAAGTGAAAAGCTTTGTGCAAAAGCTTCTTGATAAAAAATCAAAAAAAAGAAGAGATATGATGGGATTTAATCTTTTAGTAGACAATTTGAGTTTATATACGTAGAGACGGCAACAACTTCTGTACTTTCAAAATCAGATAAAGATTTATCGAAGCTATACAATGCTATTATTTCTATGTTAAGCATATGGTATCTACGTTACTGGAAAAATTACTACACGAGATTTCATCCATGCCCAATTCTTTGCATACTATTTAGTGGTAAGTTAGTTTAGTTTTATTAATTATAGTAATCGTAACAATTTGCTAATTACAATTCCATTTATTTAATGCGAAATTTATTTTGTTAATGTCATAGGAGCAAGCGTTGAAGTATATTTAGCAATCTGATTAGCAAATATGCGACTGGTAGTTTTTTTAATTATGAACTTTGAAATAGCAGAAGAGATAACAACATTTCCGAAAATGACAAAGGTTGCTGCCAAAATGCTGTCATTACGAGTAATTATCTTTCTATTATATCTATAAAACATTGGTATATTCTTCTAACAGTTGACTTCTATTTGTAGCCTTTCATTCAAAATCTACATAAAAGATACCAAACATTATTAATGAAAGAGGCTGACTATTATTTAGAAGATGACAATACCTGAACATCACCAATAAGGATGAAGGCTCGTCATTAAGTAGTTACTTAAATTCAGCTAGGTTTTTAGATGATAATTATTATACTGAGTATTTATGAAAAAAAACATGAAAGTATTATGTAGTCACTTTTTATTCTATTCATCTATTGTACACAAACTATACATCCTAATAGAATAAAATAAGAAATGTAAACATGCCTGTATCTTAATATGATTGTAAAGCCTAATATGATTCTAGATCTATACTTATAACTTAAATTACATAATATAATTTATCTGCATAAATGATGGACAATTGAGCTTGTCTAGGACACAGCCTAAAAATGATTCCCAATCAAAGATTTCAATAAAACAGATTAAAAATCACGTGATTTTATTCACAGAAAATTGCTAAGAAAAATTTTTTATTAATACATACAAAAAACTAAATACAAAGTTTGAGACATAGCCCAGAATATATATTATTTTTTGATAATTTTTTCGATTCTAGTTCTCTTGCTAAAAGGAGAACTATCAACACTAACACAATTCTTTAATAATCCAACAATGATGCTGATTACCCTTTTCACATTATTTTGAAGTAATTCTGGATTTCTTTAACAGTGGATTTCGTGAGATTAATTTGGTACTCGCTTTCACTTGTAGAATATATACCATCTGGAATATATATGATAAAATGCCATTCTGTACCTGTGATCACAATACCATAGATATAGTCAAAATAGTCATTTTCGAATGCTTGATCTGCAGTCTATTTCTTTTTATTTATCTGAAATGTGCTTTCAAGTTGTACTAGATTCTAAGAGATAAATCATCATTAATATCTCTAATATGTTAAAAAGTGAAAATGTAGATAGTAGGTCTACTTGCGTATATCTAATCTTAATATTTCATGATTTTCCTTCAGTGATGCAAAGAAGATCCTCTAAACTTTTGATCGCATAGTCTACTCAGCCAGTAGCATCTTCACCAGAAACATCTTTCTGTAAAACTATGAATATATCTTGAGAGGTGAGTTTTTGACAATAGCAATTGACGTATATAATATAACTGAAATAAATTTATAGCGCGTTATTTTGTTAGCATCAGTTATAATCTTTATATTCAAAAGTTTTAAGATAATATCCTCTATACAGTGTTCAAATGCTTTATCATCATCACTAATCTTCTCAAAGACTACAGAAAAAAATAGTTAATATAATTATTTAGTCAGTTTTAAAAATTAATTAATTACAGTCCCTGGCAAAAAGAATGATGGTGGAAGACCGCATTTATTTTAGGTTGCAGTTTCACCACTTTCTGGATTTAGACATTTGTTTATATGCCCAAATCAGACATTGGAATCTAAATTAAAAAGGTAAGTTAAAAAAATAAGGTTTGTTATTTGTTTTTATTTTGATTTTCTTTCCAAAACTATGCCAAGCTCTTTAAAAATACAAAGAAATTCTGTTAAATCACTTTGGGATCAAAAAGTGCGTAATGCAAAGAAAATTTCTAATCTATTATGCATTTCTTTGCACACATGTGAACGATATGTCAGTTTACTAAATAAAACTAGCAAAATTTCTATTGGTCACTCTTCTGGCTGTCCAAGAAAATTGGCTTCAAATCAATGCTACTATATTGGAAAAATTCTGCAACATAATCATTTTACTATAGCAGACGAAATTAAGGCAAAATTGAAAGAAAAAGATCCTAACCTTGATGTCAGTGAACGTACGATACATTGTGAGCTCAACAATCTTGGATATGTTTCTGTTCTTCCAAGAAAGGTTCCTTTTTTGACCCAAAAAGTGAAGAAATTTTGTTTGTCTTAAGCACGTGATCATTCACAATACAACTGAAAAAAGTTGTTTTTTCTGATGAAACAATACTTCAGATATTTAGAAATACCATGTGTGCATGGTCTCATAATGCAGAACTAATTGTTCTATGGTAAAGCACCTATTCAAAGTTCATGTTTGGGCAGTGATTAGTGCTAAAGGAAAAATCAGCATTCATTTGTTTACTGAAAATTTGGATCATTATTTATATCGGAAAATCTTAGACGACCATTTGTATAATAACGCAAATATGTTATACAGACGCAGCTGGGTCTTCCAACAAGATAATGATTCAAAACACATCTCACACGATGTTTAAGAAGACTTGAAAAAACATCTTCCAGGACGAGTTCTTTCTTGGCCTTCATATAGCCCAGACTTGAACTCTATTGAAAATGTATAGACTGTATTAAAGGAAAAGATGAAGAAAAAGATCAAGTATTTAGTAGCAAAAAAAACATTACCTGCGATGTATTCCTTAATACAATCTGGCAGAAATGGGATGATCTTGATGACGCTATGTTACTTCAGTGCATCGAGAGCATGCTAAGCTGAGTTAAAGTATGTATCAATACAGAAGGAAGACACACTAAATATTAATTAATAATATAAAAGTTGTCGTTAGTATTATTCTTATAAATAAAAATAAAAAAAAATATACATTAAAATAAAGTTTGTATATACCATCGAAATATGTTTCCGCCATTCTTTTCACCAGGGACTATATCTACCAGGAGTGAACTGCTTGATATTTATTATATCTTTCCTGTTTACCTTATTTTTATGTAATATTTTCTTTAAGTCATTGAGAGTTTTAAGCAAGAAATAGTTTTGTAATTTCTGGCTGAAACCTTCGATGAAGTCTACAAGTCTTGTTGCTGACCCTCCTTTCATTTCATAACACTCAAGCTTTTTCTCTATTAACTTAAAAAAATCACAACCAGCAACTTTCTCTTTACGAAAAATTTTAATATTATCTTTATTGAGTTTCAAGTCTTTTCTTTTCAGATAATTAATAAATTCCTCTGTATTAAAATTCTTAACCACATCTGATATTGTTTGAGAAGAAATTTTTTTCGTTATTAAGCTTGGAGAAGAAGGTGTAGAGGCTTGTAAAGACATGATTTTTATATATGTGAGTTTATGTTTGCAAAAAAATATGTACTTGATTACAATTACAGGTAAAGCTGATTTATGGATAAAAAGTATTTTAGTTTCTGAAGTAAAGCATTCAGAAAGAAATGATAGATTTTTTTGTATCAATTCATAAAGCATTTACCCAATATATATGCAATTAAGATGTAGTATAGAATTATCAGACGATTATATTACATTATTACACATGACATTTTTCAAGATTTATGACAAAAACATAATATATGCTTTATTTAAAAAATAAAAAAAATCTTATTAGAAGTTAACCTACATTACATAAAAATTGCGAATATATCACTACATGATACAGAAAATTATTTGGGATAAACAGTGAAATGGAAGTGCTCTGCTTTAGGTTTCTCAGTAAAAATATCGATAAAATCCTCATACATGTTCATTTTCATTTCAATAACACTTCCAGCTCAAATTATACAAATTTTAAGAGGGATTTTATTAAATGGTGCTTCAAACTACTTTGAATTGCAGTTTTGAAATCACTATAATAATCATCTTTACAAATTGTAATCAATTGCATTACTTTAATGCATAGAATATTCATAATTTTGCCTATAAGAACAATAAGACAATTAATAGTAATGTTGTTATCATTCATTTGACTTCTAAATGTAAAAATCTATAGTGAGAAAATTGCTGGGCCTACTTACACTAAAGAACATATACTGTATATACTTATTTTGCGTTATTTTCTCTGGAAAATATTTTTGCGAAAAGTTAGCTAAACTTTCATATACCTCTATATATTTTATATCTTGCTGGAAAAGAGTTAAGAAGGTATGAGGTGTAATTAGTATTGTTGTCTGATATTAAGAGTTCTATAAAAGCACATGTAAATGGAATTCTCATACTTTTTCATATAGAGATCTACCAGAAAGACATATAGTTGAACTTACGTCTAACGATTTCAAAATTCTAAAATCTTTAGCCTTTTATAACATATGCTTTTATTGTCACTATTTACTTATAGGAAAGGTCCTGTGTTGCAATTAGACACTCTTTTACATTTTTCTCATATTTATTCAGAAAAAAAATAGAGGTACTAGTTAGCATGTATATTTTCTTTTCATTATATGCAAAATCAATATGTTATACAAACCTGTCTAGTATTCTGCATATTTTTATCACATAGGAATATTGC